TTTTTTCTTGGCTTACTTTTCTATAATTTGTACGTACATTTGTTGACATAGATTCTTGTTTGTATGCACATTTAAATTCTTATCACCGAGATAGCTTCGCTTTATCTGCTTTCTCCCTTATTTGTGTTAGATTGTTATATTTACATAAATATGTATATTTCGTGGTGGAAGCTAACAACCTTGAGAGAATGTGATCATTTTATCTATGGCATTAGCAAAGAAGCTTTTAGGTGAAATTTTTGATATGTACATACATATACTTATTCAAATATGTTGATGTTTTTATTTCTAGTCTATGCAACTGTGCATCATCAGCAAAATAGTGCTCTCTACTCAGATATTTAATAAGTTTTGTTAGCTGAATAGAGCACTGAAAGCATCGTGAAAAGAAAACAAAAATAATTTTTATCTTTTAAAATTTTTTCCAAATATACCCATATTTACACTGAACCAAAAACCCACGAATTAAGAAAACTAACCTACAGCCCATGATGCAATACAGAAAGGTGTTATACGTTAGCGTCCAGTTGGCTCTAATCGCAATCTTAAGCTCCTTTAGAAAAATTCAATTGGTCTCTTTGAGAAATCCCACATATCCAAATTTAAAAAACTTTAAAAATCTTGCGTTTAAACTGAGTAAACCTTTATTTTACACGTTTCTGGTAAGATATATCATTTTGTACTTATATTCATAAATAATTGTGAAAATCTCAGTTTCTCACAAACTTTAATTGAATACACAATTTTATTATTTCTTTAAACAGGTAATAGACTCTCCTTATTTTGACCAGTTTTGGGTATATTGCTTTAGTTTATTTAAAATAAATATTTTTTTTTAAGTCTATCTAGTTATACAAAAAACAAATATAAAAACTCAACAAATTTTAAAAATTCAAAAAAAATGTGTGGTATGCAGTTTTATGGAATACAAAAATTATCAGTTTTTTTTTATTAAATTTCATGCGATCTGGGTTCAAAATTATTAAATATCAACCTTATTTTGTAGCCACTTGAAACTTGCAACTTATTGTATTAAAATTGTAACAAAAAAAGTTGAGATTTTTAATTTAATTAATTTTGAACCCAGAGCACATGAGATTTCATAAAAAAGTGATAATTTTTGTATTCAAGGAAACTACGTTAAGGGCCGTTTGCACCATCTCAGGTTAGTTCTAACTCCCAGTTAAATATCGTTTTCGACACCCAGCATATAACTTGTGATCGATAAAGTGTAAAAATATCGTTTTTTGCCACGCATGCCTGGTTATCAGGTAATCTGGTTAAAAATAATTTTTCTACGGTGTATTTTATTGTTATTATTTTTAACCAGATAAGCTGATAATCAGGCAAGTGTGAACAACCACAATATATTTATAGTAAGCTTATTATTTCCCTGTTTTATCGAAATAAAATTTTTGAGAAAATAATTTAATTTCAACCGTAGTAGCACCCAGTTGAGTCTTCTCCTTGACCTGCCACTCATTTCGTCTATCAATATTATTTCCGCTGTAAATTCAATAATTATACCTCAATCACTTCATCGTCTCGTGTTCTGGGCTGTTGTAGCATTTTTTTTCATCTCTAATTCAGCCTACTTCACCACATAATTTCTTATGTTGGATGTATGTATATGTATGCTTTTATACCACAGCACTTATCTACATGAGATCTTCTAATTAAATTAGCATTACAAGAACACTTATTTTCAACAAAAGCACTTCAATCCACGCGAGCGCACGATAAATTATAAACTACCTTCTAAGGCGCAGAAAAACGATTTTTCACCAACCAAATCGGCAAGTAAAAATTTTAGAAATACAAGTATATAGATCGCTACAAGTAAGCAAGTACGTATTTATGTACATATGTATGTAAATAAGAACATATAGTACGTATGTACTTACATACATCTGTATGCTTTTATCTCACATCTTTGAGCGCCTTTATCAGCTGTTTTCTATAATTCCACAATTCTGCTTACCTAAACGTCTGCTGGCTTAGTTTAATTGTAGCGGCGTAATTTAATTATATCTCTACTTGCCTGTCTGTTTGTATGTATTAATTAAGATATCTTTAAATTGCTGATTGCTTTATGTCTGTTTATTTCAGTGTATTTCGTCGTATTTCCATCGTTTCTTGAGATACACTTGTCTAAACAGTTGTTACTGTTTCTGTGTTGGTTTTTCTCAACGAAATATTTCAAGTTCAAACAAATTGAAATAAGAATTATTTTACAATTATTTCGAGTGAGTTATTAAAAGTGGTGTAGTGTTTTGGGTGTAGTGCTCTTTGTGTTTCCTTGCCTTGAACTTAGAAAAATGTGTTTTAAGAAATGTGGGCGTTTAATTATACATAATGCTGCTTATTAAGTTTAGGCCTTTTCAAGTAGCTCTAATGGATTTCCAGGCATAATTTTGATTTTAAGCGCTAGTTTGCTGTATGGTTTCTAAATTGTTGTACATACCCTGCAGAAAAAATTCGTAACTAAAAATTTCTACTTCAGTAAATTAAGAACCTTGGCTGGAATGCGTGCCTTGCTGCTTTTGGATGTTAAATTTAAATTCAGTGAGACTAGGAGATCATCGAATGACTTCACTACCTCTCATATTAGCTAGATGACACAATCCTTCGTCAGATCAGTAGCAGACCCGTATGCAGATAGCAAGCTGTCAAAGGACTAACAAATCATTCTCATTCAGACTTTTCCTCACTTCGCAGGCAATTTTCCAGTCTTACCCTTATAAAATGTTTGATTTTTCTGAATCAATTGGTCAGTTCTAGGTTTCTATTATCTATTATCAACCCAAGCCCATCATAACTCAATCTATTATAAGTTTCGCAATATTCAAAAAGCTTCTAAAATATGCAGCGCCAACATTCGCACCAGACATTACTTGTACGCAGTGAATTAAGTTATAAAACTCAGGAAAGTCTAATAAAGACCACCAAAGACCGACGATTCTGTGCTCATTATCAGCGCCCATTTTAAGTAATAAAGAGGTCAGGCAATATTTATTGGAATAGAACTGATGCAGTTCTTAGGCAGAGTCGCTGCTTCGGCATGTGAACTTAAAAGGAAAATTTAAAATCCTGCCTCCGATGGGCTACCGACAGGCCTTGAGTGACATTCATCGCGAGTCCGATCGAACAGGGCATTTCTATTGGACTCGTAGGTTAAAAATTGAGAGAACGGAGCTGGCTTGTTAGACCTACATAACACTGGACGACACTGTAGAAGCTGAAGCTCCTATTATTCTGTGGATAGACGTACCTGAGCCTTACATGCTCTATCTCTACTTACCTAGCTCCATTCGCCATAAGATAAATATTTACAATATCTGTCTAAAATTGCTCCAAAGTATCTGTTTGTTTAAAAGATTTTGTTACTAAGTATTCGCATTTGATATGAAAATTTGACGAGTCGCGCATGGTATTTATTTACTCAGATGAGATTGAAAGTTAGCAAGTGGTACTAAAGTAAAATAAAGATCTGAGGCTAGTGAATATTCTCAAATTGTGGAAAGAGTTTTGGATATCAAATTCAAATTTTGAGGAAAGTGGTTAAAACTGTTTAGTTCAACCCGCATTGCCCTTGAACTCTCGTTTTGGGCTCTTTTATTTGGGCTTAGCTGATACGGTTGAAAAATTTCACCTAACTACGCCAAAACGGGTTAATTCTGGTTCAGATTTCATGGCTCGGAAAAGCTCTTGTCAGGGTGGACCTAGCATAAATTGAAGCAACCGATTTTAAAAGTTAATTTCTTTTATTTAACGTCATCTTCATTACATATGTTCTTATCTTCTATTGACAACATGAACTCGACTATTATTTCATAATTTTTCAACACTCCAAGTCTAAGATTCATTCCCAACGAATACGAACACCTTCGGCCTCTTGCTTCTTCAACTCGTTCACAATGAAATCTCTGAACTCTAGGTAAGCTGCATCAATTTCAATATTATTAATAATCTTATGAAAATTTCCATTCTTCAGCCCATATGCTATCTCCTCTACAGCTGCAGTCAGCCGCTTTTGCAATGTTTCCTCCGTTTCAGTTTGGCGCTTGCGCAAACGCAATTCCAAATCTCGGATTGTTGGTGGATTGTTGAAAACCAAAATTGGATTCAAGTCCGTCTTTTTAATTTGCTCCACACCTTGCGGCTCAATATCCAGTACGCACACTTTGCCCGCCTGCTGTATCTCACGCACAGCTGCCTTACTGGTGCCATACATATTGCCGCTGAAAATGGCAGTCTCAATGAATTCGTCATTCGCAATCTTTTTCTGCATTTCCTGCTGATCGACAAAGTAGTAATGGATGCCATGCACCTCACCGGCACGTGGCGCACGCGTTGTATGCGAAATGCTGAAACCAAAGGTGTTTGGGAATTCTGCAAAGAGACGTTTCAGCAGCGTGCTCTTCCCAGAGCCGGACGGTCCGCATAAAACTAGTGGGCGTGGGCCTTTAGTGAGAGTTTGTGTTGCTGCTAGTCTGGTGAACATTTTGATGGAGACTGTGCTTCCTTGCAACTGTTATGAGCGCGATTGACACGAGTTTTATTGAATGTAAGTAGTTAACGTCTTTCTTGAATACTTCGTAACACAATGAACCTACAACGATATAAAAAAAAAAACTAACTTCAAGTCATGTTTCACAGATGATTCTCAAAACAAGACTGTATATGCTTTGCCTATGAAACTTCTAAAAGCCATCTGACACGATATGTATGTAGGTATTTGCATGTGTAGGTGTCACCATGTCTGTCTGTTAAATTCACACTAGTTAGTTTACGCTTTAAAATAACGTTATTTCAAAACGAAATAAGTAAACAAAACACAGCAGATTTTATCTACGAGTCAGATAAAAAAGAAGCGTTCCTGTGTCGTTGTATGCATGTACGTACGTGAATCCGTTTCATATAGAAGTAAATTGCATATTTATGTCAGAAGTTACATTTCCACATGCAAATACATACATATCGTGTTGGAGGGCTTTAAAAAACACGGCTCAACTAAGTTTGGTTGTATTTTATCTCAAAAACTGTGCCAACCTCATCTTATAAATTTTTTGATGGTCATTTGAAGTGCATTTACAAAATTTTTCTAGCACGTCCAGTTTTTGAGAAAAAAACTGTTTATTTTTTAAAAATAGAATTTGGACGAACATAGCTTTTCAGAAGAAAAAAAAAACACCTATTAATGAAAATCCAATGCGTCTTCTGTCCGGGGAAATGATGACAGGGTACCATGCCTAGCTAATTCTCAAATCAATTTAATTGGAAAGTAGTTCGTGACTTTTGACAGAGTGGCTGGGCGTCCCCCCTCCAGTTTAGTCATGATCCTTGGGCTGCTTGGTTATCAGAGTAGAGACACCCTTCTAATCGCTAATACGCTACTGCGTTGCCCATCGGCTGCTTCTTTTATAACGGCCAACTCTGCCTGAAAAACGGCGTAAAAAGCTGTCAATCTGAGCTCAAGATTAACGGAGACTTGCGGAGAGAACCGACCTTTCAATCCATAGAAAACAGGGTTCGGACTTTTCAGCATCTTTTTTAATCTACTTCTCTACTTCAAACTTACTAAAATAAATTATCTTCTAATATTTTAATTATATACTAGATTAACATCACTTGAATACCACTTGGTTTAAAAAGATATAGTTATACATGTGCCAGTATAAAATGTCAATAACGGGCCTTCTGAGTAGGCGGAACATTATTTTTTTAGCCCATTATTTCAGAATAGGCAAAAATTGCAATCACGATTATTTAAGTTTTTTTTTTTTAATAAAACTCCGTCCTGATAGGCTTAAAAATACGCCTACTCTCCTAAAAAATACAAAACAATTTGAGCTTAAAAGTCAAATGCCACCCAATTATTCAAAATAAATAAGCTGATTACATAAATAAATGACAAGAATTCTACATAATAATTTTTCAACGACTTCAAATTTATTCATCAATACGCCTAAATCATTCTAATTTTCAACGTATGCAACTAAAAAAATATAGAATTGCAAGTAAGAAAAATAAAACTAGTCTCACAAATTGCTGCAATACTTCGATTTCACTCAAAATTCGGCTACCGCACGAACTCAAGGTTGGCGGCTCAAAAAATCGTTAACTTGATTATTTAATATATTTTTTATATTTCCGTCAAACTGTGTGCATTTTTTTGCAATACTCTAACGGAACTGTATTGCGAAACTGCAAAGCGTCTAGAATAACATGGAAATAAAAATTATTTTTTTTTTAGTGGTAAGTAGGTGCTGATTTGATTTCACCTGTTGTGAGTGGCATTTTGGTTGGGTGGCGCAGTGGTGGTTACTTCGTCGGTCTTGTGATTTGCTAGCCAAAGCAAAGAACTGGTTGCAATTGGACACGCGCTGTTTGCTTTTTGATTTATTTAAATTTACATTCGCTGGTAATGAGAACTTGTTTGCAGAATATTTAATTAGAATCATATAATTTGGATTACGTAATGTGCAGAGTAAATAGAAGACATTTTAGATTGATTTACGAATTCAATTAAAACGAATGAATGTATGTATGCATTAATTAACTTGTTAGTACTTGACCACAAATAAATGGTTAAGGAGGTCTTGTAAAGAATTCTGAGGCAAGCCAGTTAGATTATGGGAAAGTGTGGAGTAAGAGATTTGCTATGAAATAGTTTAAAAAATCTACAAAAAATTGATTTTTCATAAATTTTTTTTAAATACCGATTTTTTTAAATTTGTTAAAAATTAATTAAAAAAAAAATAAAAGAAGAAAGACGAATGAAAACAAATTGAGTAAAAAGGTAAAAAAATAAAAAATAAGAAAAAATAATAAAATAAAAAAACAGTATATAAATGTAAATTAAATGCAATTAAACAAAAGAAACAAAATTTATTAAAATAAAATATAAAAATAATAAACAAGTAGAAAATTAAAAAAAACACAAAAAAATATTAAATAAAACGACAAATAAGAAATGTTAACAAAAAAAAATGATTGAAATGAAAAAAACGTATATGAATGAAATAAATGTTTAGAAAAAAATTTAATAAAAAACGAAATCGTAAAAATAATCAAGTACAAAAATAAAACAAAATTATGTAACAAAAATTTAAATTAAATAAAATTTGATTCATTAAAAGGAACTAAAAGCCAAAAAGACGTAAGCGCCATTTTTTCCAAAATTTAATTTTTGATGTAGAAATGCAACTAGATGCTCTAGGAACATCTCTGCATAAAAAAAATGAAAAAGATATAGCTTACGCCTTTTTGGCAGTTATGGCTCGATATATAATAAATAAAATCAAATGAAAGGAATAAAAAAAAAATTACGAATTGAAGAAGGTAGAAAATTCAACAAAAAAATTAAATTAAATTAAAAAAATTAAAGAAGATGGGAAATTTAACAAAAAAAAATGTAATTAAATAATAACGGAATAATTAAATTAATTCTAAATAATTAAAGTAAATTTAAATAAAAAGAGAAAACAGCAAATATTAAAAAAAATTTAGCAAGAAAGTAAAAAGTAAAATTACCTAAAAACCAAATAAAAAATTTTATAAAATAGACATTAAAAGAATTTGATAATTTAATAAAATCAAAATAAAAAAATTATATCCAATGAAAAACAAACTAAACTAAAACTAAAAAAGCAAATAGATTATAAATAAAAGATTATCTAAAAATCAAACAAAATAACAAAAAAAAGACAATTTAAAATAAGATTTCCCAGATATAATAATACAAAATATAATATAAATAAAGACAAAATTAATTACAATTAAACGCAAATAAAAACAATACATTTTTTTATTTATAATTTAAAAGTTTCCATAAAAACTGTTCATGGAAGAAATCATCAAAAACTACATATTTTGCACAAAATTTTTTAGATACATTATTTTTTGTGTATTTTTGATATTTTAATACATGCAGCTTCAATTCAAGATTTGATTCCAGCTTTAAGTTTTCTCTAAATAATTCGCTTGAAAAAAATGTTCTTCAATTTTCATATATTCAAATAGATGGGCGCCATATACATAAGTATTTTTTATTTTGCCTATAATATAAAAATTAATATGAATATTAAAATACATTTTTTTAAATAGTTTTAATTTTTTATGCCGGTGGCAACTCTTTTACAAAATTTTCCGTGTTACTTGTGCATAACATACATATTTATGAGCATACATTGTTTTTAAATTTAGTTAATTGTAATAACTTTAATTTTGTAACAACTGTATAAAATATAATTTAGCGCAAGAGTAGGCTTAAACGCGTTTTTCTGATTACATATTTTAGTAAACTGATATACCCTAATCACACATTTTCACGGTTTAAAGTCTCAATCGAACTTGTTATGCGCTCAAAAGAACAAACACTTTACAAAGTTTTAATTTTATTTATACTTTCGCATAAAATAGATGGCGACTCTCTAAGAAAACCAGTGTATTTTTACAGTTCTTTCAGGTCAATGTTCAAGAAAGGAATTTAGTGTAACAAAATGCATATATGTACATAGGTAGCAGCTCTCTTAAGAATGGTTTTGGAATAATAATTTTCATTTAATAACTAAATAAAATTTCACAATTTTTATACCAATTTCTTAAAAATATTTTTTTTTCAGTAGCCAGATTTAGAGCTTGAGAACTTCAGTGATCCTTACATACGGAATTATTTGAAGTTTCAATGTAAAAGTTTTTTTTTTCTACGCGTACCCAATGCAAAATTTTTATCAATATAAATACTCGCTGACTTATTTAATCCTCTTAATCCACTTAACCTTACTTGATCTCAATTCATTTAATTTTGCAAATCGTCACCTCAACCCATAGTATGTATAAGTATGTATGTACATATGTATTTACATAGTTAGGGTGCACACTCTGAAATTCAAACAAGTTGTCGATTTAGCTTTTGTCCCATTTCAGCGCAATTAATTAATCATTTTTAATGAGCAGTTAGTCCGATTTTATTATTATTCATTGCAAAAAAAAGTGTTCTGCTACATGCCAATAGGAGCATAAATAAATTAAAAAATATTAAGAAGTGTTTTGATTAATAAGCGAATTCCATTTGTCTGCGTTAGGTAATTTATCACAAGGAATTCATAAGCGCTGCCACCTGGTAACCAAGAAGAAAGGCTAGGTAGACAGAAGTACAAAAAAGAGCTGACAAGGCACATAAAAAGTTTTATTGAACAAGTGCAATATAAAATACGTGATATGTATGTTTGTATGTAATGAATGTAAAAATAACCAATTGGAATGGAATGACACAATAAAATATGAGAAGAGAACGTTCTTACTTAATTAAAATTGGAATGCGGATCAAGTGCGAAATGAATATTGTTGTCCAGGCGCAAAAAAAAAACAAAGAAAAGAGATCAATAATGGGAAGGAAATACCTTAAAGAGGTATTGAAGTGAAGGAAACTGAATTTGGAATATCTAGCGGAATTACAAGCGAAATGTAAGTAATTAATCAAGGGTGTTAAGCATTAAAAAAAAATGCTGACACTTTGAGGGTCTATAATAATTTAAAGAATTTTAAAAAGTAAGCACACAAAAAGTTGAATACCAATATGTAATCGAATAGAATAGATATGCCCAT